TAGTACTGAGTGTCAAATTGATTGGACTGAAGGATGCAGAGTATTGATCCCCGGTGTGAGGACTCTGTGAGGGTGTAGCCACAGGAGATGAGCATTTGGGTCACTGGGCTGGGAAAGGCAGACCCACCCTCAGTCTGGGTGGGCACCAGCTAATCAGCTGCCAGTGCAGCCAGGACATAAAGCAGGCAGAAGAACTTGAAAAGACTACACTAGGCCAGGCACAGTGGCTCATGCCAGTAATCCTAGCACTTTGGGAGGCCGAGGCAGGTGGATCACGAGGTCAAGAGATCGAGACCATCCTGGTCAACATGGTGAAACTCCGTCTCTACTAAAAATACAAAAAATTAGCTGGGCATGGTGGCGCGTGCCTGTAATCCCAGCTACTCGGGAGGCTGAGGCAGGAGAATTGCCTGAACCCAGGAGGCGGAGGTTGCGGTGAGCCGAGATCGCGTCATTGCACTCCAGCCTGGGTGACAGAGCGAGACTCTGTCTCAAAAAAAAAAAAGACTACACTGGCTTTGCCTCCCAGCCTATCTCCTCTCATGCTCGATGCTTCTGGTCCTTGAACATCGGACTCAAGTTCTTCGGGTTTGGGACTCAGACTGGCTTCCTTGCTCCTCAGCTTGCAGACAGCCCATTGGGGGGACCTTGTAATCCTGTGAGTTAATACTTAATAAACTCCCATATATATATATAATATTTATATATAATAATTCTTTATAAATATATGTATGTATTCTATTCGTTCTTTCCCTCCAAGAACCCTGATTAATAGAGGGGGTATTGGGCAAAGGGGGCAAAGAACCCTGATTAATACGGGGGTACTGGGCAAAGGCAGAGAGAGCAGCATGAGCAAGCACTCTGCAACAGAAGGAAATGTAGGGCCCCAGATGAAACTGTGCCGTTGGAACAGGACGGTGGTGCAGGGAAGTTCAAGAGGCCGGCAAAGTGTTCGTTTGTTTGTTTTGTTTTGTTTTATTATTTTGTTTTAGAGTTAGGGTCTTGCTTTGTTGCCGAGGCTGGTCTTGAATTCCCGGGCCCAAGTGATCCTTTCACTCTGGCCTCCCAAAGTGCTGGGATTACAGGCATGATGCACTGCGCCCCGCCACGTTCTTGTACCTTTAGAAAGGTGGTTCCAGATAGAACTCTGGAAAGGCAGTGTGTCCATGTCCACGCTCATTCTCCAGGCACGCGCTCATTCTCCAGGCACGCGCTCATTCTCCAGGCACGCGCTCATTCTCCAGGCACTCGCTCATTCTCCATGCACGCGCTCATTCTCCATGCACGCGCTCATTCTCCATGCACGCGCTCATTCTCCATGCACGCGCTCATTCTCCATGCACGCGCTCATTCTCCATGCACTCGCTCATTCTCCAGGCACGCGCTCATTCTCCATGCACGCGCTCATTCTCCATGCACACGCTCATTCTTCATGCACATGCTCATTCTTGCTCATTTCTCTCTGGCTCTTGGGAGCCTCAGCTGTCCACCCCTGGAAGGGCAGCTCTGAGGATCACCCCAGCTACAGGGACCAGAGGAAGAACTGGAGAGCCTGAGCTCCTCCAGGTATTCCTCGAGGACTGGACAGAAAGATGTGGATATTGGAGGCGGCTGGTGGTGTGCCCAGGTCAGGGCAGTCAAGACCGCCAATAACCACAGCTTGGATGAGAGGGGCCTCCAGGAGGCCATGCTGTTGTTACGAGTAAAATTTCCATGCCGCAAAAGAAATAGCACTGGAAGATAAATCCTCTCAGTCAGGTAGTTTACTTCTATAGAAGGGTGTGGTGCACCGGTGGGGCAATGGCAGCCGCACATTTGGACAAGGAGAGGGAGGGTACTTATGCCTGACGGGGTCGCCCCTACTGCTGTGTCCTTCCCCTATTGGCTAGGATTAGACGGCACAGGCTGATCCTGATTGGCTATTTTAAAGAGAACAGGGGTCCGAGCTGGAGTGGCAGGGTGGGTGCTGTGGCGGGAAGGACGGTTACGGGAGGGTCAGAGCAGGTAGTCAGGGGCGACCTAGGACAAAGGGGACTGGAGCAGGTGACTGGGATGAGTCAGGACGGAGCTGGGCGCCGGGGGAACAGATGTGAATTACTGATTACAAGGAAGCTAAACTTTAAAATAGAGAATTAAGGAATAAGAGCTGAACATACCGACATGCTGATCCTTTGAAGAGAAATTTGGGGTTCACTATAACACTGTGTAACTCCCAACAGTGGCAGAGACCAGGGCGTTGAAGCCACTGGCAGCCTGACAGCTGGCTTGTGCCTTCCGAGAGGACCCCTGCTTTTCTTTTCTTTGCTCTGGGGCCCCCACTGGAGCTGCACCACTCCCATGCCCCTTCCCTACCCCCACCCTGGCATCTCCCACCGATACCGTTGAGGGCAGAGGTGAGGTATTACTGGTGATATTGATCATCCACTCTGAGCACTGGTACAGAGGGACTGAGGACAGAGGAATCAATGAGACCAATGCCCCTGGCCTCCTCTCTGAGCTGACATGGAGCCCCTCTGGTCTTCCCTGCCAGCTGGCCCTGTGTCTTCAAGGAGCTGGGCTCCTGCAGGTGGGCAGGCTTAGCTGCAGGGAGCAGCTGGCAAGCAGATGCCTGTGGCCTGCGGTGCCTTGGCTCTAGCTTGGTTCTGTGGGACACAGACAGGTCTGACTAGTTCCTCAGCAGCAGAGACAGGGCTCACTCCATGATTTCCAGGAAAGTCAATGTCTTGGAGAGCAAGCGGAGCCAGGCTTGGGGTGGAAGGAGGAGCCGCTTGGAACACAGCCCCTCCTCTGCCATGTACCTGTTCCCTGTGTGATGGAGGTGCGGAGGTTCTTCTCTCCCGCCTCTCACAGAGGGAACAGGGCCTTAGCCGTGGGAAAGGAGGAGGGGAGGGCTCTCGCTCTGGCCCAGGGGTCAGGGAGTGTGGCCCGCATGGTGAAGCAGCTACCATCAAAACCAGGGCTGGCCCTCTGCAGGGTGCAACATGCCACCCTCCTTGGCCTCCTTCCTCTTGGCTTCTCAGAGTTTGAATTCTACCCTTAACCCACAGCCTCCAACCCTTGGCTCCAGGGACCTCGTCCCCCAACTTCAGACACCTGATTCCAAGCCCACACGTCAGACCTGCACTTCTCCTCCTTAAACACTAAGCTCTTCTCTCTTTCTCTGTCTCCTCCTCCCTCCCTCCCTCCCTCCCTCCCTCCTTCCTCCCTCCCCTTCCCTTCCTTCCTCCCCTTCCCTTCCACCCTCCCCACTCCCTCCCTCCCCACTCCCCCTTTCCTCCCTCCTCCCTCCCCTTCCTCCCTCCTCCCTCTTTCCCCTCCTTCCTTCTTTCTCTCCCTCTTCCTTCCTTTCCTTTCCTTCCTTCTTTTCTCCTTTCTTTCTTTCTTTCTCTCTTTCTTTCTTCTTTCTCTCTCTTTCTCTCCCTCCCTCCCTCCCTCCCTCCCTTCCTTCCTGGGCAACAGAGTGAGACTGTCTCAAAAAAAAAAAAATGATGGATTTTGTAGTATGTGAATCATATCTCAATAAAAAAGCACTTTAAAAAAATATGCACTCTTGCCTCTGTCTTTTTCCATACAACGTAATATATACGAGCAGTTGACGAAGCTGTTGTGTACATCAGCGGTTTATTCTCACAGCCATGTGGTATTCCCACGTATGAGCGCCCTAGCATTTGTTATTATTAATTTTATTTGGAGACAGGTTTTCACTCCGTCCCCCAGGCTGGGGTGCAGTGGTGTCATGCAGCTCGCTGCAGCTGCTAACTCCTGGGCTCAAGTGATCCTCCCACCTCAACCTCCTGAACAGCTGGGACTACAGGCACACACCACCATGCCAGGCTAAGTTTTAATTTTCTTTTTTTTTGTAGAGATGGGGTCTTGCTATGTTGCCCAGGCAGGTCTCAAACTCCTGGCCTCAAGCAGTTCTCCTGCCTTGGCCTCCCAAAGCTCTGGAATTACAGGCCTGAGCCACTGTGCCCAGATCTTTTCAGATCTTTTTTTTTTTTTTTGAGATGGAGTCTTGCTCTGTGGCCCAGCTGGAATGCAGTGGCATGATCTTGGCTCACTGCAACCTCCGCCTCCCGGGTTCAAGTGATTCTCCTGCCTCAGCCTCTTGAGCAGCTGGGATTACAGGAGCGCACCACCACACCGGGCTAATTTTTGTATTCTTAGTAGAGACTGGGTTTCACCATGTTTGTCAGTCTGGTCTCGAACCCCTGACCTCGTGATCCGCCCACCTTGGCCTCCCAAAGTGCTGGGATTACAGGCGTGAGCCACCACACCCGGCTTTTCTTTTCAGATCCTTATGGCCATTTGGATTTTATTCTTGTCATCTACCTTTTTTGGGGTTATAATCTATTATAGACATGTGGGATTTAAAAAAATATCCTCTGGATGTGAGATCCTTGTCACGATCTGAGTTGCTGACATCTTTTCTCGTCCGGCGTCTCTTTTCGCATTTTTAATTGCATCTTTTCGTGAGCAGAAGGTTTTCATTTTGATGAAGTCCAATTTACCCACTTTTACGGTCAGAGCTACACGTGTCCTGTTTAAGAAACCCCTGCCTACCCCCTAAACATCCCTTGAAGCCGCCTCTTCCCTTCTGACGTCTTCGCCTCCAGCCAGCTCTTTGCAGCCAGTTTTCTCCCGTGCTTCTTCCCCATTCTCCTCCCACCGATGTCCCCACCCCACTTTTTGCCCCATCCTCTGCCTTCCTCACCACCATCAGCTCGATCTTCCCGCCCAGGAACAGTCCTGGCTCTTCTGCGAGTCCCTGGGACCAGCACAGTCTCTGGCACGCACTAGGTGCTTGATAAAGCTCCATGAATGAAGGCGCTATCCTGTGGCTTAGCTGGGGATCTTAAAACTGTCCATTAGCTCTAATCACCGGCTTCTCAGGAACATCTGAGCAGAGCCAGGGACACAAAAAAGTTTTGGAAAAACCGACGAGACAGGAATATTTCGTTCTCTCCGTCACCGGAGCATTTACCGCACAAACGCAGACCTCGTTAGCATTATTTATTCTTGCTTTGTCCCCAATCACAGGACAAGGGAAGCCTTTTCCCTGCACCCCCTGGCTGCAAGAGCTCCCCGTCACCCCTCTCCGACAGTGTTTGCTGCCCGGAATGTCGGGGAGGCCTGCGATCCCCTAGTCCTTCTCTTCCCCGTGAGTGATGATGTGGCACAGGTTTCTGTAATCCAGGTTACCACACACATCTGGGGGAAACGCTGCAAACATCTGCTTGACCTGAGAAGGAGCCGAGAGTCAGCCTGCAGCAGGCAGGTGGGAGCCAGAGCGGGGAGTCTGCTGTGCCCACCCAAAGCCCAAATTTACCTCTTCCTCACTGAAGCGGTCTGCCTGGGTCATAAGTTTTTCTTTGATGCTGTACAAGGGGGAGACACAGTCATGTTCAGGGTAAGGGATACACAGCTTGGACATGCAGACCCCAGGGGTGATGAGGGGCAAGCGGGTGCGGGGAGCATCCTGGCCCAGGAGGACGTCCCCTGGGGCTGGTCTTGTCAGCACCTCTGAACTTTGGTTTTCTCCTCCATGAAGCGGGCTTTCCTGCCAGCATCAGGTAGGGATCAAAAGGAATGACCTGGGGACCCCAACGTAGGGGCCACTCTGAACTTCGGTTTCCTCCTCTGTGAAGTGGGCTTTCCTCCCAGCATCGAGTAGGGACCAGATGGAATGACCTGGGGACCACTCTGAACTTCAGTTTCCTCCTCTGTGAAGTGGGCTTTCCTCCCAGCATCAGGTAGGGATCAAATGGAATGACCTGGGGACCCCAACATGAGGGCTACTCTGATTTCCCATCATGCACTATCACCAAGCTCTGCATCACTGAGGGGAGACGGCTCAGGTCCCCCGCCCAGACCCTCTTCTCCCTGACTCTGGACACACTGTTTTCTCCAGCTTGTGATGTTCACTGACATCCAGACAGTGTTTTAGAGACGACAAGATGCTTGTGCTTGGCTAAGGGCACAGGAAGGCCTGCCCAGGCCCGTGTCCTCTTGAGCCTGCAAGGGACTGGTGCCCCTTCAAACTTGGAGGGCCCTGCAGTGTTCCTGAGGGGCTCAGTGGGCAGGAATGGTACCCGGCAGCTAAGCAAGGCCTCCTCCACCCAGAGCGTCCTCTGGCACTGGCTGCGGCGGGCCTTGCAGAGGACCAGTGCACATTTTCCATTATTTATGTTTCTGTGGGACAGTCACAGTTTCCAGCTCTCCAAGCTGGGGACTTTTCACAGACTCTGTTTCAACCAGAGCCTCCACCGTGGCCTGTCTGGCCTGCAGCCACAGGTCCGTCCCAAGGCAGCGCCTTCCGTTCCCAAATTGGGTCCCCAAAGGGTCTTTCCCAGCTTGTCCTTGCACCGGTGAGACTGAAGGCAGTTGACAGGGGAAGGAGGGTTCGGGGTCACTCCGGGGGCGCCAGAAAGGAGGCAGGAGCCGCAGACCCCGAGGGAGGGAAGGAGGAGAAGACTATGGCTTGGAGCAGCCCTCTGTGTCCGCTCCCCACCCCAGGGGAGTATGACTCATGGTTTCAGAGTTGAGAAAGTGTGAGACGAACAGACCCTCTCCACCTCCACCCCTGCCCCGTCTGCCCTCTCCCCTCCACCTCCATATGTGAGAATCTCAAAACCAGCCTCAAAATCCTAAGACCACAGCATTGCAGTAACTGATCCGGAAGCCCGGGCCGGGGGAGGAATCTCACCTGCCCCAGGCCACCCCCAGGTCCAGCAAGGTTCTGAAGGGACTGCCCGGGCCTAGCTCAGAGGTCTGCCCTGAAGCCAGGGTCCTGGGCAGGCTGCCACTTCCCTGCCCAGCCCTGCCTGCAATCCTTGGCTCTCTGCTCCCGTGTTGTCACTGAGTGGGGCACTCCTTCCGTCACGATGGCAGCCTGGTGCCTGCCGGACAGCTGCCTGCAGCCAGGTCCCCTTCATGCATTCCAAGGGAGCTGGTCACCTTCCCCAGACCTCACTTCCCTCTTGCCCAAGGCGGTGCTGGCTACGATCTGGCTCAGTCCTCTCCCCAGATCCCGGATCCTACCAGCGCTGGCCTCTGGCTCTTTGCTTATCTGTCCACCCCACTCCGTCTCGACAGCCATGACCCTCCTGGGAGCTGCAACCCTCTCCTCTCCTCCTCCAGGCTGGCCTCCATGGTGTCCTTGCCTAACTCCTTCTCGGGCTCTCCCATGCTCCCAGGGCAGACACAGGGTCCAGGGGCTGGGTGTGAGCAGGCCTCACGCAAGCCCCGCCTGCCACACTGTGCTGAGTCTCTCCTCCACCCACCTCCACCCGCGCCCTCCAGCTGCAGCCAACTCGAAACCAACATGCACACGCCAAGCCCTGGCCCTCTGATCTCTCCGTTCCCACATCTAGAATGCTGTTCCCACCCTAGCCTGGGCAACCCATGGCCATCCTTCAAGGCCTGCCTTTGCCCCCACACCCACCCCACTAGGAAACGCTCTCAGAGTGACCTAACACTTCTTTTCTTTTTTGGAGACAGAATTTCACTCTGCTGCCCAGGTTGGAGTGCAGTGCAACAGTGTGATCTTGGCTCACTGCAACCTCCACCTCCCAGATTCGAGTGATTCTCTTGCCTCAGCCACCAGAGTAGCTGGGATTACGAGCACCCGCCACCAGGTCTATTTTTTTTTTTTTTTTTTTTCCCAGTAAAGACAGGGTTTTGCCATGTTGGCCAGGCTGGCCTCAAACTCCTGGTCTCAAGAGATCTGCCCACCTCGGTTTCCCAAAGTGCTGGGATTACAGGAGTGAACCACTGCGCCTGGCCTGACCCATTTCTTATCCATTTCTACTTGCAGGTGCACATAAAGATGGGGACACCAAGGCTCAGGAGGGGAAGGGACATTAAGCGATATCACTGGGCCAGGCAGCCGCCTCCCAGCTCCTGGGTTCTGGGAGAGGAGACTGGGCCACCACCAGCCCTGACCCCAGCCCTGAGCGGGCTTACCCCTGAGCCTCTGTAGGGAGCAAAAACGGAAGGAAGTCAAGGGAAACTTACACATCGGCCTTGACAAAGCCTTTCCCTTCAGTGTCGAACACTTTGAAGGCATGAAGAATGGTCTCCTCTGGGTCCGTGCCTATAAGCAGCACACACAGGGCAGGGAGAGAGGCAGATGGAGAGGGCCCCACAGAGACAGGCACCGAGCTGGACAGGGGCTGGGGCTGGGGCCAAGTCTCGTGGCCCCTGCACAGTGGCACAGCTCCAGGGAACTTCTTCCCCAGCTTCCACTGCACAGAGAGGGCGGAGCTCACTTGAAGCAAGAGCAAAGAGGGAAACAAGTCATTGTAACTATAGACAAGGGTTCCATGTATATATTTTTGTGAACAACCTGTGCAACTGTACATGGGAACCCTAAGCATTTACTTTGTGTTTAACCCTTCCTTATTTTACAGATGAGCAAGCTGAGACCCAGAGAAGTTAAGCGACTTGTCCAAGGTCTCACAGCCGAGGCTACTGCATGACCAGTGGTCCGAGTTGGGGGCATGACTCTGGGCTCAAGCTGTGCCCAAGAGGCTGTGGGCAGAGGAAAAAGAGTTCTGTACGTGGCTGCCAAAAGGCTGGGGCTTGGGCAGTGGCATTGGAGGGGTCTGTGAGACTGGCCCGGCCAGAAATGGGGCAGGTGGGCCAGCGGGCCAAGGGAGGGGACTTGGGGAGGCAGAAGGGCAGACAGAGATATTCTGCTTTTGTCAGGTTCACAGCGCAGCCTTGGGGAGAGATGCCACCTGAAGATGTGAATCTGATACCCATAATAGCCTTGAAGGTGCAGCCCCTGCGTTGAACCTATGGGAAACCGAAGCCCAGAGAGAGGACCAGGCTGCGTGAAGGACAGCAGGTGACCTGGCCACCCTCACCCGGTGTGATTTTCCCCTCTGTCACCATGTCCCCCTTGTTCACTGTGGATGCGGGGGTGCCCCCTTCCTTTCTTCAGTGCTCACCTGAGTCATTGGTGAAATGGGGACAGGGACAGTGCTTGCCACCCACCTCACAGGAGCAGCTAAGGTAACACACCGTTCATGGTAAGGTTCTGACCATGTATCGACCAGGGCTGCAAACACATCTGCAGCTCCAGGCCTGCAGCTTTAAGATTTTACCCGCTGGAGCTCTGGGAGCACCATGGAGTAGATGTGAATGTCTTAGTTTATCATAGAGAAAACAGGCTTGGAGAGGTTTTACTACTTGCCTGAGGGCCCACTAATAAGAGAAGGGAGGATTTAAACCCACCTCTGTGGACTCCAGAGTCCCCTGCTCCTTTTGCCACCCTGTGCTCCTGCCAGTCAGATTGGGCAGGGTCATGTGCCTCCCGCATTAGACTAAGTCTGATGTGCCTCCAGCATCACGCTAGGTCAGGAGCGTCTGTGCCTCTCCCATCAGACTGGGTTGGAGCCATCTGTGCCTCCTCCATCAGTCTGGGTCAGTGCCACCTGTGCCTCCTCCATCAGACTGGGTCAGAGCCATCTGTGCCTCCTCCATCAGTCTGGGTCAGTGCCATCTGTGCCTCCTCCATCAGACTGGGTTGGAGCCATCTGTGCCTCCTCCATCAGACTGGGTCAGAGCCATCTGTGCCTCCTCCATCAGACTGGGTCAGAGCCATCTGTGCCTTCCCCCATCGGACTGGGTCAGAGCCATCTGTGCCTCCTCCATCAGACTGGGTCAGAGCCATCTGTGCCTTCCCCCATCGGACTGCATCAGGGCCATCTGTGCCTCTCCCATCAGACCAGATCAAGGCCATCTGTGCCTTTCCCATCAGACTGGGTCAGGACCATCTGTGCCTTTCCCATCAGACTGGGTCAGGACCATCTGTACCTCTCCCATAAGACTGGGTCAGGGATGTCTATGCTTCTCCCATCAGATCAGATCCGAGCCTCATCTGTTCCTCCCCCATTAGACTGGGTCAGAGCCATCTGCTCCTTTTCCATCAGACCAGATCAAGGCCATCTGTGCCTTTCCCATCACACTGGGTCAGGGCCGTCTGTGCCTCCCCCATCAGACTAGAAACTACCTGGGACTGGGACTGGGCAGTATCTGAGTCTCCGGGCATCTCTGAAACTGGCCCAGAGTGAAAAAGCCTGGCACACACTGGCCTCACTGGCCTGGGAGCTCCTAGAGGACAGAGCCATGGACTGCCTCTGGGCAGGGTGGCAGGGAGCTGGTGTGCCCAGCAGAGAGGCTCAGCCCAAGGCGCACTGGGGACACTCCAGGCCCTTACAGCCTGACTAAGCCAGCAGGGGTTGGGGGTGCCTCCAGGCTGGTGAGGGTTGAGTGACCAGAGCATCACGTGGGGCACCCATGTGGCATTTGCCTCTGAGGCCATGGTCTCCCAGGTTTCACTGATTAGTTGAAAAATTTCCTCTTCTTTGAAGAGGCCTCACTGCTGGGACAGGTTTGTGGCTGGCTCCTGCCTGGCCCCCTGCGGACCATGCACATGGACTTAGCTCAGGCTCTTAGGCACCCAGCACAGCCCCGCCATTCCCTGTCGCCATGGCTGGCAGTCCTCCCTTCCCTCCTCCCCAGAGAGGGCCTCTGTTCCTGGGACTGTGAACCTCATAAAATCTGCTACAGAGTGGCCACTTCCCCCCATCGTCGCTGGGAATCTCACCACAGTCTCCTCTTCCCAATTAGCAGGGTGAGGTGGCGCCCGTCCCAGCCCCCTGCCCTCCCGGCTCCTGTCCCCTCCCACCCGTCTCTCACGAGGTCTGGCCACGTCTGCACGACAGGCTGAGCCGGAGCCCCAGTCCCGGTGCCCCCTTCAAAAATGAGAAAAAGCTGCATCCCTGCGGCCCACTCCAGGTCCTGGGTAACAGCTTCAGCTCAGTCATGGACCGACATGAGCTCTTGGTCTCTATCTTCCCATCTGTGAAACAGGTTTGGGGCCCATTGTGAGCTGACAGGGTCCCCTCCACTTCCCCCAGCACTCCCGGAGATCTCTCTAACCAGAAGCCACTTCCCCAGGCCCACCCGCTGGCCTTGAACACGTCTTCAGTGACGTTCCTCTGGATAAAAGAATCAGCCTGTCTGCTTCCTTTGAAGTTGCTGGCTGAAGTCACGAATATCTTTCCCATAGAGCATTCTTCTGTCCCAGCCTCCTGGGCTTCTGAGCTTTTCCAGGAGGCAGCCAGGGTCCTGGAAATAGGTCCTGACCAGCTGCCCCCAGAGGTGGGCCCAGTGACACTCCTGATTTGGCTGGACAGCCCCAAGTTCAAGGCCTGCTCCAGATGAGCCTGCCCTCCCCTGCCCTGGGTCTCCTCGCCTCTTGTGCGCAGGCTGATGGCTGCCTTCCTGCTAGTTCTAGATCAGCCAGAACTCGGTGCGTGGAGGCTGCTCTACCCCCCCAGCAGGTCGCGACCCATGAAAACACTGATTTTTCACCCCATCAAACTGTGATGTCAGGTAGGACCACCCTATCGTGGACTGAATGGTGGCTGCTGAGCAGATATGTCCACCAGAGCCTGCAAATGTTACCTTATTTGGAAAAAGGGACTTTGCAGATGGAACTTAAGCATCCTGAGATGCAGAGGCCATCTCGGATGATCCAGGTGAGACCCAAATCCATGGCAAACATCCTTCTAAAAGGCAGGTGGAGTCCGGGCGTGGTGGCTCAGGCCTGTAATTCCAGCACTTTGAGAGGCCGATGTGGGTGGATCACTTGAGGTCAGGAGTTCGAGACCAGCCTGGCCAACATGGTGAAACCCTGTCTCTACTACAAATACAAAAAAATTAGCCGGGCGTGGTGGCATGCATCTGTAATCTCAGCTTCTCGGGAGGCTGAGGCACAAGAATCACTCGAACCTGGGAGGCGGAGGTTGCTGTGAGCTGAGATCGAGCCACTGCACTCCAGCCTGGGCAACAGAGTGAGACTCTGTCTCAAAAACAAAACAAAGAGGCAGGTGGAGGGAATTTAGACAGAAGAGGACGGGGCCACTGATTACGAGGCTGAGATGGGAGAGGTATGCCCCCCAGGGGCTGGAAGAGGCAAAGAGTGGATTCTGCCCCAATCCTCAGCCCGATTTTGGACGTCTAGACTCCAGGACTGTGAGTGACTACATGTCTGCTGCTTTGAGGCACCCGGTTTTGGAGAATTTGTTACAGTGGGTTTAGGAAACTATTATAAGCCCATTTTACAGACCAAAAAACTGAGGACAGAAAGCAGATAAATCTGTGCAAGGTCAGCCTAGGAGTCAATGGGAAGCCAGGGCCTGACCCTAAGCCTAGCAAGGGAGGGGACCTGGCAGGGGTGGCCTTGAGGCTGGAGGGCTGACAGTACTCACCCCCCAGGGCAGCCACTGCCCAGGCTGACCCCCTGCTTTCTTTCTTTCTTTTTATTTTTTTTGAGATGATTTCTTGCTCTGTCACCCAGGCTGGAGTACAGTGGCACCATCTCAGCTCACTGCAACCTCCATCTCCTGGGTTCAAGCAATTCTCTGGCCTCAGCCTCCTGAGTAGCTGGAGTTACAGGTGCCCACCACCACACCCAGCTAATTTTTGTATTTTTAGTAGAGATGGGTTTCACCATGTTGGTCAGGCTGGTCTTGAACTCCTGACCTCAGGTGATCTACCCACCTCGGCCTCCTAGAGTGTTGGGATTACAGGCATGAGTCACCGAGCCTGGCCTTGGCCCTTCCTTCTAACCATGGAACCTTCAAGCTCCGGGGACGTCACTATGGGAGAGCTCCCCCAGGCCAGGACAGACAGGGGACACAGAGGGCCCAACACTCCACTCCACACCTAATGCTGTGTCTAGGGTGGGTACACTGGTTAGAACCGGGGTTGGGGTTGAGGCTCCATCCTGGCCACCTTTTGCTGGGGCACTTGGGGCGGGGTTCGTGACTCCTCTAGGTGTGAGTCTTTTCATTTTGTGATTGAGGCTCCCTGATCCTTCCTCTGGGGGCTCCGGTGACCACAGAAAAAGACAAGGGGAGTAACCTGCGCTGCCCTCAGCTCAGCCTCAGCATCTTTCGGAAACACTCTCCCTCCAGCACCCTCTGGCTGTCCCCCTCATCCACATCTGCAGAGTGGGTAAAGTGAGCCCACGGATAGGAAGGTAGGGGAGCAGCGTGGCTGGGAGCAGTGGGACTGGGTGTACTGTCCTGATGGTGGGCAGAGGGGTTAAAGGCAGGGTTTGCTTTTTGCTGTTGTTGCTTTTGAGACGGGGTCTTGCTCTGCCACCCAGGCTGGAGTGCAGTGGTGCGATCTGGGCTCCCTGCAACCTTCACCTCCCAGGCTTGAGTGATCCTTCCACCTCAGCCTCCAAAGTAGCTGGGACTACAGGCATGTGCCACCATGCCTGGCTAATTTTTGTGTTAGTAGAGATAAAGTTACATTCTATCACCCAGGCTGGTCTCAAACTCCTGGACTCAAGCAAATCTCCTGCCTCAGCCTCCCAGAGTGCTGGGATTATAGGCATGAGCCACCATGCCCGGCCAAGGCAGGGGTCTTTACAGTTACCCCAGTCTGCAGTGAAGAGAGGGAAACTGAGGCAGCGACCTGGAAGTTGTGTGCACCGGGGGCAGATATCTGGGGTCACATCATGTTCCCACCTGTGGCCTGTGTGTGTGTGAGGGTCCCGCCCACCTTCATTCCCCGCCACCCCTCCGGCCCCCAGGAGCCGGACTCACCCTTCAGCTTCTCCCCAAACATGGTCAGGAACACCGTGAAGTTGATGGGCCCGGGGGCCTCCTTCACCATGGCCTCCAGTTCCTCATTCTTGACATTGATTCGGCCTGGAAGAGACAAGAGATGGGGAGCCCAGGAGGATATGAGAGAACAGAGCTTGGACCTCGGAGGGTTCCGCAAATCCTCCCCACTTGGCTGCCCCACTTGCCCACCACTCAGCCCTCAGGCCCTGCTGCCTTGCTGGGGGCTCTTTGGGGGGCATTCGGGCCACAGTCAGCTTCCGGCTGCCCCCAGCCTCATGGGAAGGGGAGCAAGTCACTCTCATCCCCATTTCACAGGTGAGAAAACTGAGACCCAAGAAGGTGCAGCTGAGGTGCACAGGGTGCCCCAGGAGGGGGTCAGTGGATGCCTGGATGCCGGGATTCCCCGTGGTTCCAGGGGACACTCAGATTCTCAGGGCTTGGTCCATTCCGCCATCTACATGCCCCATGGGTGACTTCAGGCTCTTCCCTGGATCCTTAGAGGGGGCAGGAACCTCTCTGAGTCTTTCCCCCTGACTCAGCTTCTCCCCTGCTTTCCTGGACCCTCCCTACACCCAGGGCCCCCAACACCAGGCCCAGGCCGCTGCTCCTGTCCCTGGAAGTGTCCTCCCCTTCCCTGGAGTCTTTCTCCAACCCCCAAGAAGATCCCCTGACTTTTCGGGCAGCGACTGCCTTGCCCCTGCGCTCCCCAGCACAGGAGCCCCTCACTCTCACTGAGGGCACTGCCCCGATGGCCCCTGCCACCCACTCTCTCCAGATGGTGTGGCCACAAGCTCCCCGGCTGCTGGTTCACCCACCCAGTGCGGCAAAGGTGTCCCTCAAGTCCTCCTTGTCAATGAAGCCATCGCGGTTCTGGTCCATGATGGTGAAAGCCTGGCAGAGACACGGATGGTGAGTGGCAACCCACCCTTCCCAGCCTGGCCACCTCCCTCAAAGGCTGTCCTCCTGCTGACTGCTGCTCAACAGCTCAGGCCAGGTCCCTTTGGCAACCCAGCTGGAATGGGCTCCATGCCTAACCCCTCATTTCAGGCTCACAGCAATCCTGGTTTACAGAAAGGGAAACTGAGGCTCAGAGAGAGAAAAGCCTTGCCCGAGGTCACACAGCAAGCACAGGCTCAGGTATAGAGAGAGGAAAAGGCTGCCTGAGGGCAAAAGGTCACACACCCAGGCTCTGGGCTGTGGCCGTGGCCGTGGCCGTGGTGACCTCAAAAAATGGTGGCATTGGCAAGGCATGGTGGCTCATGCTGGCAATCCCAGCACTTTAGGAGGCTGAGGCAGGAGGATTGCTTGAGGCCAGGAGTTTAAGACCAGCCTAGGTAGCATAGTGAGACCCCCTCTCTACAAAACATTAAAAAATTAGCCAGGCATGGAGATGTACACCTGTAGTTCCAGCTATTCGGGAGGCTAAGGTGGGAGGATGGCTTGAGCCCAGGAATTGGAGGCTGCAGTGAGCTATGACTGCAATACTTCACTGCAGCCTGGGTGACAGAAACAGATCCTATCTCTAAAAAAAAAAAAATAATAATAATGGGCCAGGCACAGTTGCTCACACCTGTAATCCTGGCTGAGGGAGGTGGATCACCTAAGGTCAGGAGTTTGACACCAGCCTGGCCAAAATAGTGAAACCCCATCTCTACTAAAAATACAAAAACTTAGCGGGGTGTGGTGGCAGGCACCTGTAATCCCAGCTACTTGGGAGGCTGAGGTAGGAGAATTGCTTGAACCCAGGAGGTGGAGGTTGCAGTGAGCCAAGATCACGCCATTGCACTCCAGCCTGGGCGACAGAGTGAGACTCTGTCAAAAAAAAAAAAAAAAAAATATATATATATATATATATATATACATACATACATACATACCTAAAATCTTCAGCCCCCCGAGACTGAGGACCCCGCCTCGGCCCAGCTCCTTCAGCAACTGGCATGCATTCCATGCATCTTCACAACTGCCCTGTGAGGCAGCAGACCCACCTCTTTAAACTCCTGGATCTGAGACTGATCGAACATAGAGAAGACATTGGAGCTGGCAGTGCCTTCTGCTCTTTTCCGAGCTCTTCTCGGTGCCTGCAAGGTGCCAGACAAGGCCTTGCAGCGGCCCCTGCCTCGGGGGTCAGTCCCCACTCCCTGCCTCACCTCCCAGGGCATCACGGTCCGGAATGACACTGCTCTGCCCTCCCCAGTGCCCACAGCAGACAGACAAGGCTGCCCCTGAAGCTGTGCAGGTTATCAGGACATTTACCCAGCACGTAGCAAGAAGCCTGCGTGGGGTGCACCCCCACAGAGCTGGACAGCTGCTTCCTGGCCCTGATCCCGGGGCTCAGGAAGGTGGGCACCTGTGCTGCAGAGCAGAGGGGGACATCTTTTCCTTCAGCCTCCCCATCTCCACCCGGCATCCTCCACTACAGCTAGAATCTGACCTTGTCACCAGCTGCTGAAAACCTTCTTCATGTTCTCAGAAAGAACAACTGAGCTCTTAGCCCTGCTTCTGGATCTGCCGCTTGCCCCCTTTCGGAGCCTCTATTCCCTCTCACCCAGGCCCTCTACTCTGCCCCAAAGCAGCCTCCCTCCCTGCCTGCATTTGACCCTGCCTGGAATGCTTTGCTCTGCTGGAATTCCCTGCCTTGAATGCCCCGCCCCCCCAGGAGAATCCATCTGGAGACTCCTACCCATCCTGCAGCCTCAGCTCTGCACGACCTCCTCTGAGAAGCCTTCCCTGACCCCAGGCCATTCTCCCCTCTCACACGGCTCCATACGTGGCTCCATCATAGACTGTCACCCCCACAGCATGCACCACACTGTCCTGGCGTATCTCTGCATCTGTCTCCCCAACTAAGTGGATACCTCAGGGATAAAATCCAGTTTGTCCCATCTCTGGTTCCTCCTGTCCCCACCCTGAACCTGCCTCAGAGTAGGGATCAACCAGTGCTTGGAAATAGCTGCCCAGAACTTGGGGCCAACCCACGCAGCAGGCAAAGCAGGAGACCACCCACGTGGAGTAGTTAGATGGTCTCCAGCCGGCCTTCCTGCCTCTGTGATGTCGGGGTGCCTGGAAGTCCACCACTGGGCATTTGCTGAAAGCCCCAGGTCCCCAAGACCCCTAAGGGACCTGTCCCTCGGCAGCCATCCTTACAGCCCCCAGGGGCCCTGTGAGCCCCAGAACGGGCTCTTGTTGTGGGGAAAGAATTGCTGGACTTCACAGGGGAAGGTGGACAGGATGGCACAGACAGGCTCCCACCACAAGCTCCTTTCTCCATCACAATCCCCAGCACCCTCCCCTGCCAACCCCCTGTCTACCCGCCCTGCTGGAGCAAAGGACTCCCCTCATTCCCTGCTCCCCTCCCCCAACGCCCGTGTGGTCTTCCCTGCCCCCAGCCCACTGCAGTCCCCACCCCCTCCCAGGAGCCCAAGTTGTCGAGGGCGGGGTGGAGGGGGGCAGGCAGAGTGCCGGCTGACTTATAATTAGCTTTTACTGGGTGCTTTGTCTCTACTAATCCTTTGAAAGGGGGCTGCCAGGGCGGGCGGGACGTTATGATGCTGTAAAACCTCTGTAATATTTATAAACCCTTTCAGACACCATAAAGAAAAGAACTTCCCCGCAGAGTTCATCTCACATAATTACATATACATTTCCTCCGATTAATAAAAAATGATCACTTCCGTCTGTGGGAGGCTCTGCCCTTTCTCTGGCAGACCCGGCTGGCCATGGCCTTGGCATCCTCAGTCCCTGCCCCCCAGGCCCCTAGCCTTTCATGAAACCCCTGGTCACACCACCACCCTAGGGTGCCCCAGAGCTCCCCAAGGGAGGGAGAGATCATTTTCTCTACTGCCAAAGAGAGTCCTAAACCTGAGGGTCTTTGCAGCCCAGCTGTTTTAGAAATTCCTTTTGAGAATGGGCCCCTGAAAAATAAAATTCCCCTGGACCTGAGTTCAAAGCCTGGCTTGGCTGCTCCCAGCCTCTGTGATTCACTTGTCGGCCAGGTGCGGTGGCTCATGCTTGTAATCCCAGTGCTTTGGGAGGACAAGCCGGGTGGATCATTGGAAGTCAGAAGTTCGAGACCAGCCTGGCCAACATGGTGAAACCCCATCTTTACTAAAAATACAAAAATTAGCTGGGGCTGGTGATACATGTCTGTAATCCCAGCTACTGGGGAGACTGAGGCAGGAGAATTGCTTGAACTCAGGAGGTGGAGGTTGCAGTGTGCCGAGATCAGGCCCCTGCACTCCACTCTGGGCGACAGAGAGAGACTCCGCCTCTAAAAAAAAAAAAAAGGCTGGGCGCGGTGGCTCACACCTGTAATCCCAGCACTTTGGGAGGCCGAGGTGGGCAGATCACAAGGTCAGGAGTTCGAGACCAGCCTGAAACCCCATCTCTAAAAAAAAAAAAAAAGAAAAGAAAGAAATTCACTTGTCATCTCTGAGCCTGTTTCCCCATTTATAAAACCAAGACCATGTCTACCTCAAAGCATCAGGACATATATCAGACTCCTGCGGACCTCCAAGCAGGTCCCGTGCCCAGTCCTGGGGACCCAGGGCTGAATCAGGCCCCATCTTGGTCCCGAAGAAGCTCCCAGTCCTGCTGGAGACAGGCAATCCATAGAGGCTGACACGGAGGAGGGGACAGGCGCTGAGAGGTCGGAGAAGCTCGTAGGCCCTCAGGCAGTCAGGAGGTGACAAGCCAAGACTGACAGCCGAGTCAGAGCTCTGGGCAGAGAGGGACTCACTAATGAGGCAGGTGAGACGCATGCACAAAGGGACAGCCAGATTGAGACCCTGCAGGGAGTCCCCAGGGGCAGGAGCCCTGGGCAAGCCCCACATCGAAAGAGGCCCACAGGCAAGGATGAGCAGGGAACCTCGGAGCTGCAGAGGTGTCACACTGTCGGGAACACGGACCTCTGACCCTCCCAGGGGCCCATGCCCTCAGAGCCACCGCCCCTATGAAGCCCCCAGGCCCTGCCCACCCCATCTCCCTCCACCCTCCCCTTCCTCACTCCCCAGCAGCTCCCACCGAGTCCAGGAAAGCAGAGACTCAAATCACGACCCACGTGGAGGGGACTCCTGGGTGGGGCAGGTCCAGACATGACATCAAGAGGGAAGCGCAGGTCAGACCAGGGACAACATCAGACCAAGGTCAGGAAGGTGAGTGAGAGGCAGGGTGAATTCAGGCAGGAGGTGAAGGTCAGAATCACAACCAGAGTCCAGGTCACAGGATGAGCTCAGGGCTGAGGAATGAGACCTGGTGTGGCAGCTCACACTTGTAATCCCAGCACTTTGAGAGGTCAAGGTGGGCAGATCACTTGAGGTCAGGAGTTCGAGACCAACCTGGACAACATGGTGAAACCCCGTCTCTACTGAAAATAGAAAAATCAGCCGTGCGTAATGGCACAAGCCTGTAGTCCCAGTTACTCAGGAGGCTGACGTAGGAGAATCGCTTGAACCCGGAAAGTGGAGGTTGCAGTGAGCCAGGATGGCGCCACTGTACTCCAGCCTGGGCGACAGAGAGAGAGACTCTGTCTCAAAAAAAAAAAAAAAAAGAAAGTTGTGGAATGAGGTCAGGTTCAGGGGCGGGGTCAGGGGTGGGCGGGAGGGGACTGCGGTGCTGAAGCCAAAGATGCAGATGGAACATCCACAGGTCTGAGCTCCCTGGGGAGAAGGTGGAGGTGAGGGGAGGTGGCTGTGGCGGAGGCGGAACAACCCCAGCCTACCATGGTCTGGAGAGCCCCCTGGAGCTGCAGCTGGCCTGGGGACAGCTCGAGGATGACCCTTAAATAGTGGTCCTCCCAGGGCCCCTGGCATGCACCAGGCCCAGTGAGGAAGGTGATCCAGGACAGAATGGGGGCCTCCCTGCCAGACACCTGCTTGGGCCATTCAGAGTGGGTGGGGCTGGGGGGTATACGTGGGCAAAAACCACGGATGCAGGGACTGCCTAAGCCTCCAGATCCCTGAGAGCCCTGAGCAACTGTTTTCTCTAGACCCAAGGGACTAAGGCCCAGGAAGAAGCATTTGGCCAAGGACACAGAGTGAGTTGAGGCTGGTAACCCCAGTGGGAAGACTTGGTCTGGAGCCATCAGGGAGTTTTCCCCAGGGTGGGGCCACCCGTGATGGCTAGGACCCACTCAGACTGCAGCATGGCCAGACCTCTGGAGCTGTGGGACTCTGGGTGGGGCCATCACCCTCCAGGAGGCTCAGGAATTCAGTGGAGGGTGTGACACCCCACTGGTCTGCTTGTGGAGAGGGTTTCTGCACCAACCTGGCCCTCAGGGGTCCCTTCTACCAATATACCTATTATCATGGCCCCCATTGCCCACCCCCAGGCTGGGGGACCCCCTCACGGTATTGAAATGCTAAAGGAACAGAGAAAGCAAAGAGACAAATAAAACAAAAACGGGGCAGGCACAGTGGCTCACATCTGTCATCCCAGAGATTTTGGAGGCCAAGGCAGGAGGATTGCTTGAGGCCAGGAGTTCAAGACCAGCCTGAGCAACACAGTGAGACCCCCCCCCATCTCTACAAAAAATAAAAAAAAGTAGCCGAGCATGGTGGTATGTACTTGTAGTCCCTCAGGAGGCCAAGGCAGGAGGATTGCTTGAGTCTGGGAGTTTGAGGCTGCAGTCACCTGTGACTGTGCCACTGCACTCCAGCCTCGGTGACAGAGTGAGATGTTGTCTCTTTTAAAAAAAAGAAAAATGGAGGTGACTCTGATGAGGAAGAACTGAAAAGGGAGACCTCCATTCCACCCTGGCCTCACACACACACAGCCATCCCCACCAGGCTTGGCCCAGCCCAAGAATTCTCTAGAATATCTGCCAAACAGAGCCCGCATCTGCCCTGGAGAGCCTCTCCTGTGTCCAGCACAGCCCAACAGCCCCGGCTCCGACTTAGAGGCTGCCACTGTCCATCTGGGCACCGCCGCATCTGATCAGCTGCCAGGGCCGGCAGTGCTGGGTTCAGACGGTGAGCTCACGGGTCCCCAGAGGCTGGAGAGCTTAACTGTCCCTGGAGCTGGCCTCAGGACTTCAGGCCAGAGTACAGCTGATCCCCTGCCCTGGGGGAAGGGAATGGCATAATAATAATAATGAGAGCAGCTACTACACAACACAGAAGGTCAGGCCGTGTCCTGAAACACGTGTCCTCACATTCAACCCATACCCCATTTTCCAGTTGAGGAAACTGAGGCACACATGGGTTAAGTCACTCAGCCAAGTCAGGTAAGAAGTGGGGCCGTGGCCAAGTGCTGGTGGCTCATGCCTGTAATCCCAGTACTTTGGAGGCCAAGGCAAGCAGATCACCTGAGGTCAGGAGTTTGAGACCAGCCTGGGCAACATGGTGAAATCCTGTCTCTACAGAAAAAATTTTTTAATTTAAAAATTAGCCAGGCATGGTGGTGAAATGGAAGAAGTTCCCTTATCCCCCTTGAAGTGCATGCGATGGGGATGTGGCTCGCTTAAACCTCTAGGGGAAGATGCTGGCGGGCAGGCGGTGGGGCTCCGACCCCATGGCACTGTCTAGGGGTGAATGCTTACAGCTCCCGAAGCCCCAGTGGGCGCGTGTTACAGGGTGCTCTTTCAGTTTTGTGGTCTGTGGGCGGCTTGTGCT